CTAAAAAGTTTGGTGCGGATAAGCCGCGTCGTTCGGAAGTTATTCCGAAAATTTATTCGGGGGAGGGACAAATCGACGCCCACTCTAGCGCGTGTTAAGTGTTTATTTTCCCCGAGACAAGTCCTGAGAAATGCCTACGCTCCGAGGCCGCCCATTGCCAAATTCGTGAATGAAATCATGTTCATGTTCAAATCAATCAAAATCAAAAAGTTCATGAAGTCGTCGATTTCATGAACGGCGAGGAAGCTGTAATAGTGCTCAGACTCATTAATAGCTGACAGATGCATAGAACTGCGTTGCGTTTCAGAAACAAGATCCATACCTTTTGGTTTTACAACCACAAAAGTATTAAAAGGCGGTGCTTTCTCCCATTTTGTTTTCGGCGTTGACAGCTTCTGACCGCCCAATGGACCGCTACCCCTCTTCATCGCACACCCACGGAGTATTATCACGCTTGGGGATGGTTAGATGAAAGGTTTGTCGTAGTTCCCACATAGCTTTCTCAAATACCACCAGTCATCCTCTTGCCTTTGCAAGATTGTCATAGCTCTATAAGTTGCCGTTACTGATATTCCCAAATGCCTAGGGTAACGTTTGAATGATGAGGTGCAATCGCATAGTACAGTTCAAAGGCTACGTTTTCTCTCAGCCGAAGGGAATCCGAATCACTAGGCACGTCTTATCGACAGGAATTACTGGCACGGTCATTTCCATCAGCAAAATGTGATTCCCGCTACAGGAATCGTGACCCAACACAGACGCAGTGCGGACGCAGTCCCGTGACCCCTGCAATGCGCACTTGATGCGCCCCAGGGGCCGACGGGTCGTGTTCAACAGACAACAGTTCACCAGTTCAACAGATCGTTTGACACTGCAGCTGGTGGTTGAGTGCCGGAGGCCGAGTTTCCCCGTTGAACTTTAGGCATTGATCGTTGTTCCCGGAGCTCGCTGCCACGCAGTAGCGGCAGCCGAGGAAGGAAGCGTGTGGCCGCGGTGTTAGGTAGTGCGGCTGAATTTGGGAAAGCACCACATCCAGACGTATTGACCCGACACAGAGCACCACAGCGACGAGGCAACGACCACTGCGCAGTACGCTGTAACAAAAGGTGCAAATGTTCTGAAGAGGCACGCTTTGCGGCCATGTTGGACACTACCCGCGCATACAAGGCAGGACATGGAGACCGGACACGGCATGGCGCAAATGGCCGGGTAGACAAGGGATACACGTACATACAGCAAGCATAGTATATAGATATTGATAACGTATTGCATATAACCACTGTTCGTCACAGCCGACGTGGATATCACGTGGCGTTGATCATCTTCTAAGATGTGGATCTGATGGGCCGCATTCAGTCGCCTAGTTTACGGCAATGTGCATGCAAATGCCATCGACGTTCGCAACAAGATAATACAAATGTGTATACGCACATATATATATATATATATATATATATATATATTATATATTCAATAAAACATTCTCGGGGTATATATATATATATATATATATATTAATCGGGAATAATATATATTCAATAAAACATTCTCGCAGATAGGTGTAAATATAGTTGATTTCATAGCATGGCTTTAACTGGCTTAAAACTCATATACTAGCAATGCAAAGAATCTGCAAGTTACATGGTTGACTTGACTGATACTGTGTTATTATTGGGACATTTCCACATGCTATGTGATGTTATCGTTTCACATTAGATTCCAATCTAGTGTATGTCTGAACGTGTTTCTGGAAAAAGTGAAACATTGCACCGACAATACCAATGACGTTTTTATCTAGGTGAGCCTTGATCATATTGTAAGCATGGGTAACATTCACCATAACATTCAACATACATGAAAGACATGACATGGGCGTCGACACCGCCAGACAGCGTCATACGTGTCCAAGTGCGGGCCTCCGGAGCGGTTGTGTCTACTGTGCGGGCCTCCGGAGCGATTGGGTCTACTGTGCGGGCCTCCGGAGCGGTTGTGTCTACTGTGCGGGCCTCCGGGGCGGTTGTGTCTACTGCGCAAGTCTCCGGGGCGGTTGTGTCTACTGCGCAAGTCTCCGGGGCGGTTGTTGTCTACTGCGCAAGTCTCTGGGGGGTTGTGTCTACTGTGCGGGCCTCCGGAGCGGTTGTGTCTACTGTGCGGGCCTCCGGGGCGATCGTGTCAACTGTGCGGGCCTCCGGGGCGGTTTGTGTCTACTGTGCAAGTCTCCGGGGCGATCGTGTCTACTGTGCGGGCCTCCGGGGCGGTTGTGTCTACTGTGCAAGTCTCCGGGGCGGTTGTGTCACTGTGCGGGCCTCCGGGGGGTTGCAGCCCCTCGTGTTTCGCGAGTGCAGCGCCACCCCGCGTGCGGACTATAAACAGTGGAATTGACTGGTTGTTTGCTCTTGACACCGTCCAAAAACATCCAGACACATGTCGTCTGTCAGTAGAGCGCAGCCCCATGACTGACGGACAGGTCATACGAATGTTCTGGATCGCGTCAGAACTCGCTATAGTACCTCGCTACCTACTCGTGGCATATCTTTGGCGATCGGTGGCAAATTGGAGCATCCCAATCACAACCGGCATACGCTTACCAATACCCCAACCAAATGTTGCTTCACGGTGAACGCTACTTGTGCCTTTCTGTGCACGTTTTCAAAAACGCCCCGCAGTTTTCCAATGCAATGACGTAGCTCGGCGCATCATGTTCTGAAGTGGTTTTGGACAGTCAGTTTTCCATCTTGAAACCATTAGCTATGTATCTGGGCGATTACGCATAAACTCGAGGCTGTCACTGGCCATCGTAACAGAAGGAAAAACAAACTGGCAGGGTCCAGCAAGATGAGACTCGTGTGTATATATATATATATATATATATATATATATATATATATATAGACATCTAAAACCTGCCCGCGCCAGAGCTAGCATGCCTTTCACTTAAAAAACAACTTACGAGTCAAGGTTACACGCTTCAAGACCACATCCTCTCCATAAAGCCCAATCCAAAACATCCTGTTCATGATACAACGGCTCGACGGCTCATGACTTCGCAGCTGACGGTCTCAGGATTCCGATGTGAACTGCGCATCAACAGCTTCGCCGTACAGCGCCGCACCGCTCTCCGTTCTCGACCTTCGCCCCATGCTGCAGGTGTCGTCCTCGAGCTTCAAGTTCGTTACAGATCATAGAAACTCTGAATTCCTCTAAATGTCTGACAAATGGTGAATCAAATGGTTTGAGCTACAGAGAATAACCGAAGTGGATATGATGTTCATCCGATAGGTTAAGTGGTTCAAGCATCAGATCGTCTGAACAGCGAGCGGCAGACGCAGTAGGCTTGAGTACCTGATTCGGTGTCTGCAGCAACAATGGCTAACTAGAAGACAAACGCGCTGTCCAGTCTGTATCAGGATCGGAACAGCGCGTTTTGGTTGCTTCAAAATCTTGTCCCATGAATCTTCACCCACATAACTATCCCACCATCTATTAAATAGCTTTGCCTGGAACAAATACCCTCTGCCCTCCTCAAAATAGCGCAAAATTATCTTTAAAAATACACACACAGAGCTTTCGCTGTTGGAAAACCCATTCACCTACAAGTTGCCTTTCGAAGGCTACCAAGTTAACACAACAACAAACTCCAATTCAGCTGAACCGGCCGTGTCAGCAGATCTGGCGGCGTTACACCCACTGAGCCAGTAGCAGGGAGTCGGAAAACCAGAGTCGCCGATGACCCCGTGAAGAGCTCAGCCAGACCAGACAGACCAGACCAGACCAGACTCAGCAGACCTCGCGATGCATGTGTTACATTGGAGATGCCACTATACCCAGCGTATCCCTGCCTGGCGTGTCCCTCACCCCCGATGGAGCCCACGCCTCCGCCCGTGTTGCACTGCATCTCAACGCAATGCGCAATATTCTTTCAAGCGTTGAGTATCGCATTACACAGCATATTTGTAGTACTCGTGGGAGAACTGTGTGCAGGCGATAATTGCGGTCTCAGGATCTCCCAACCGCTACCTCCCGCCGCCCCGACAGCCGGTGCACCGGCAGACGGGAGGCGCGGCCAGCCCCCGCCCCCCACACACGCTGCGCGCGCCGTGGCCGGCGGCGCTGTGCGGTGAGGCCCACTGAGCTGAACACGCCACCAGTCTACTCTTGGGTTGTAAGGGCTCTCCTGTGCAGCAGCAAGTGACGGCGGTGACGCCAAGGTTGCGTCCCATTGCGTAAGCCCGCCACTGCCAGCAGAGGGCATCGCCAGGGGACTGGTACCCCTCTCCCTCCCAGCACGACTCTCCACGTCACTTCCACCACGCGGCCGAGATGACAGTTAATGGTGACTCGGGACCGACTTAGTGGTTAGTGGTCCGGCTCGGCGATAACCTCACTGGCAGCAAACATAGCAGCGCAAGCATCTGCAGCTACGAAGCGTGCACTTGGACTACAACAAAATAAAATCATACTTACTAGCTGGACAGCTATGCTGAGCACAGTTTTAAGTGAGAAGCGCCGGTTACAAATGTCAAACACGTCTTCTAGGCTGGGTCCGAGCAGCTCCAGGGTTAGCGCGCGGTACTTGCTATTGCACATACCATAGTAATAGACCTCTGGTATGCCTTCTACGGGTGCAGCGTCGCAGGCAGAGCCGTGCCGGTGCACCAAAACAGACAGAGAACGGAGGGACCGGCGTCAGTGACATGCCACGAAAGCGACACACATGCGGCCGGGCGCCGGCGACCGCCGCCCGGCGCGCCCCAGCCCGGCGGCGGCGGCGCAGGCTGCGCTCGAGCGCCACTTCCTGTGCTCGGCTCCGACGGCACGACACGGCACGGCCACGCAAGCTAGCCAACGAGCAGACGGCCAGCGGACGGCACGCACGGACAGCGGCCGGCCGAGCGAGCCAGCCGAGCTAGCCAGCCGACGAGCGGGTCAGGCGCGCACGGGCAGCGGCCGGCCGAGCGAGCCAGCCGAGCCAGCCAGCCGAGCTAGCCAGCTGTACTTACTAATTGCACAGCTATCAACAACACGGTTTTAAGGGAGAACTTCCGGTCACAAAGGTCAAACAGGTCTTCCAGACTGGGGCCCAGCAGCTCCATAACCAGGGCGTTGTAGCGCCCGCACGGGCCGAAGTAGTACACCTTGGGCACGCCGTCTGTGGAGCAGCGGGTCGGGTCAGGCCGCCAGCCGCCGTCACCTGCCTAGCCTCAACCCACGGGCAAACACACGGCGGGCGAGACACACGGGACAAACGTCACACTAACCCGGCACAACATCCGCTGGCGGCTGTGCGCCAGTCGGCTGGCGTCGGAGGTTGAATCGATGCCGGGCGGCCGGCCGATGAGTGCACGCCTGTGCCGTCTGATCACCATTGATCGCGGTCGGGCCGCCCTCTCGCCCTCGCCCCGTGAGCATTACACGCCGGCCGGGCCGGCTCCCTCCTGACCTGCTGAGCAGCCGCCGCCTGCTGACGGCCCGCCGCCCGTCAGCGAGACGGCAGGGCAGGTATCAGGAGGACGTCCCCAGCCCGGCCGTCCCAGCGACAGCCCGGCTGACCACACCGCAGCGGCCAGCCGTGGCACGCCGCAGCGCTGCTCACCCCTCCCCTCGGCCCACTACCGCTCCCCGCTCGGGGAGGACGATTCTGTTTCAGGGAGCGGTGACAGTAGATGTTGCGCCCGGCCACGCCTCGCTCGCGCTCGTCACCGCCGCTGGTAGGCCAGCGAGGCTCGTCCGGCTCCGGCACCTGCTCCGGCGCCGCAGCCGATACCCGGCCGTCACGTGACCTGGCGGCGCGGTCACGTGACGCGTCCGCCGTCAGCGGCTGATTGTGTGCCGTGATTGAGCTGGGGACGACCGATAGCGCAGGGCTGGTCCGGCAGCCGCCAGCCGCGATCAGCCGGGATCAAACCGCCGCTGGCATCGACCCCCGGCCAGGGGCGGCGGCCCGGCGACAGCGGCGTCCGTTCCGGACGGAGCGTGTCGTCAGCTGCTGCCGCCGTCCCGCACCCGGCGCCGTCGGGACGAGTGGCGTCCGCAGCGGCCCGTCGCGTTTGAGCCGTGCGACCCAAACGACACGTCGACGCCGGCTGGCGCGGTCGATGTCCAGAAATAACCGGACCGGCGGCGGTGGTGGCGGCCGCGGCCTGACCGCGCCGAGCGGCGCCGCCCTGGACCCACCCGGCGGCCGCGGCCTGACCGCACCAAGCGGCGCCGCCCTGACCCACCCGGCGGCCGCGGCCTGACCGCGCCGAGCGGCGCCGCCCTGACCCGCCTGGCGGCCGCGGCCTGACCCACCCGGCGGCCGCGGCCTGACCGCGCCGAGCGGCGCCACCCTGACCCGCCTGGCGGCTGCGACCTGACTGTGCCGTGCCGCGCCGCCCTAACCCGCCCGGCGGCCGCTGGCGACACCAGCCGCTGGCGGCGGGAGAGGGGCGCGAGCGCCGGCTGACCAGAGGCCGTCGCCAGCAGCGGCCGGCGCCGGCGCACTGGCACGTGTGGCCCTGTGCCGTCCCCACGGGCGAAGGACGCGTCGGCTGTCCGGCAGCCCTCGCGTCCCGGCGTGGCCCCACGGCCTCCCCGTAGTGGTCGACGCAGACTCGAACCAGCGGGATAGTGGCTTCAGTGGCTTCAGTCATCCCTAGCCCGTTCACGCAGGCTGCATATGCAGATCAGGTGGCTCAACGGGTCTACCCGGTTGGCAACAACACCGAATACAGAACCGGTTTTAAAGTGGCGAGGCGTTCAAATGAGGAGAATCTGCAATACCTTAAGTGGAATACAGAACAGAACATGGATATTTAGCAACTTCCCTCAACCCAACAAAGGCTGCATAACGTAACCAAATTATTGTGTCGTCCTCGTTGTCAGTCCGTGGCGCTCACTGTTGTTCAGGCAGCGTGTGGCAGACCCGCCAGCGGCCACCTCCAGATCGATGAGTGCCGACGCATCTTGACACGGCTCCAAATGGCGCCTTGCTGGGCGTCGGCGACGGACGGACGCGCCGCCACCGCCGCCCGGAAGTGGGGCCGTGCCGATCTGTGTCAGCCGGTCGGTGGCAGGGCGAAAGTGGAGCTGGGCCGGGTTGATCCTCATCCCCCCCCCCCCCCCCCCCTGCTGCAGCCGGCGGCACAGAGCCCAACATGCAGGCGGCGCCCGTCACCACACCGCACCGGCACCCAGCGGCGATAGCTGGCGCTCCAACGGCCCGCCAGACCGTCCGCCAGCGTTAGACCTGCCGGCCGCGGCCAGATCTCCCACCAGCCGCTGACCACAGCCAGACCGTCCTCTAACGTTAGACCTGCCGGCCGCGGTCAGATCTCCCACTAGCCGCTGACCACAGCCAACGTACAGACCCAGTCGTCAACGCAGATGTCCACCCCACGAGTAACGCACCCCAGCCGTGTAGGAGATGACACAGTGCGGTCAGCAACGCACGCCAGCCGTGTGCGAGATAGCGCGGTGCGGTCAACATCATGGCGGCGCTCTCCAGCCGGCGGCCGCCCGCCTGGCCCGGGGTCAGTGTCTCACGACCCGCAGCGGCAAGCACCGCACGCGCGCGCCCGCCACGGTCCGCGCATCAGCGCCCGCACACCTGACGCTTGCCGGGCGACCCAGTCGCGCACGAAACCGCCCCGGCCGATCGGCGCCACGGCCCTTGTCGACGCGTCTCCCAGAAAACAACCCCCGCCTGAACTGCAGCGCGCCATGAGGCCTGTCAGACAACGACGGTTGAGCCCCACGGCGCCCGGGCGCGAGTGGGGCAGTTCAGGGACGTTCGTTACACCGTCCGGGACGTTCCGTTGAGGGACGCATGAGCAGATGGAGGTCAAGCGATGGGCGGTGCGGCGCTCTACATCGGCGCTGTGTTTGGGGTCACATCGCTGCCCGGCGTCAGCCGAGCCGCCCGGCCAGCGCGACAGACGCCGCTCCCACAGGCGTCACAACGGCAACACCGCCAGTGGATGGCAGACGAGACAAGCGGATGAAAGCGTGCGCAGACGGCACGCTTCGGCGTGCCACCTCTGCGCTTCCGACTAGGCCGCAGACCGGTCGGCAGCAAAACACTAAATGACAGACCCCTTCGGACAGGGGGCAGCTCGGCCAGCATCAGGACAGGGGGCACCGGAGCGTGCCTATCGTGTCGCCCGAGGTGAACCGGACAGCTGACTCCCGGAGTACGACCCTGCTGACCGGCGGCCGCCGCCGGCGCTGGAGGCGGCCGTTAGGCGCCGGGCGCCGCCGTGGCAGGGCAGGGCGGCGCGGCGCTCGCTCGCGCCCCGGGCGGCTGGCCAGCGCGCCAGCTCCCCCGACCAGCGCCCCGTGCCCAGCTCCGGCCGGTAGCGCCACACCGCCGGCGGCGCCGCCGACCGGAGCCGGCGGCGGCCGGCCACTGGCCGGAAAGCGACGGGGATGCACCGGAAGTCGTTGGGGACGGACAGGAAGCCGGCGAGAGCTGCCGCGGACTGGCCCGAATCCTCCGGGAGTGAGTCACGGGAACACGTCACGAACGTCGGCACTGGCCGGCCGCTACATGGCAACTGAGAAATCAGGCTGATTGAGACCACCGAGCTTCATTCCAAAGCGAGCGAGCAGCGCGCTGAGTGACGGCCGCTCTGGGGCTCTGCTCCACCAACGTCAGGACACCGGCTGTGCTCTCTGCTTGCCGCTGAGTGGCGGCCGCTCTGGGGCTCTGCTCCACCAACGTCAGGACACCGGCTGTGCTCTCTGCTTGCCGCTGAGTGGCGGCCGCTCTGGGGCTCTGCTCCACCAACGTCCGGACACCGGCTGCGCTCTCTGCTTGCCGCTGAGTGGCGGCCGCTCTGGGGCTCTGCTCCAACAACGTCCGGACACCGGCTGCGCTCTCTGCTTGCCGCTGAGTGGCGGCCGCTCTGGGGCTCTGCTCCAACAACGCCCGGACACCGGCTGTGCTCTCTGCTTGCCGCTGAGTGGCGGCCGCTCTGGGGCTCTGCTCCAACAACGTCCGGACACCGGCTGTGCTCTCTGCTTGCCGCTGTCCCCACCATACACTTTACCTCCACTAAAAAGTACCACGAGTTACTACAAGCAGGGATACACCTGACGACAGTAATGCTTGACGTTTTTTAACTGAGCTTGATAGAAAAAACAACGTGATTTATGGAATCAGCACCCCAGCATTGCCCGCGACCGCCTTGTAGGATATCTGAGCGATAACCACTGATGCACAGTGTAATTGGACAAAGCGCACTTTCAACGTGAATGAATGACTAAAGCTTTAAGGCATGACGGATATTACGTCTCCCGTCACCATTTGTAATATAACTGACCGTTTGAAGTTACGATACTAACGTGATTGGTAAATATCATCCATGTAGCAAGGGCAAATGCGAGCCCGACCCGGAGGCAACAGCGGGGAACATTACCACCTTCAGTGATTTTCCAGTCAAATCAGACCGTTTCGGGACATCACAGAGAAGCACAAGCCAGGCGCAGTCGGCTGCTGACGCCGCCTGCCGCCCAGCCCGCTGCTCGGGGCAAGTGGCAGCATGTCCCGGGCCGGGCCGGAAAACTGGGACTGGCGGCCGGACTGGCCGGCCGCCGCCCGTCCGCCGGCGTACACACGGCCAGCCTTGAACCGGGCCTGAGTCATGGCCAGCCGGGCCGCCGCCGCCGCCGCCGCCGCTCGGCATCACAGCCGCCCAGCCACCGGCTGCCAGCCACTCTCGGGCCGCAGCCATCCATCACCAGCAGCGCCGCACAAGTCCCAGCTGACGGACACCCTCTGATCTCAGCCCCGTCCCGTCACCAGCAGCGCCGCACAAGTCCCAGCTGACGGACACCCTCTGATCTCAGCCCCGTCCCGGCACCAGCAGCGCCACACAAGTCCCGGCTGACGGACACCCTCGTCCCGGCACCAGCAGCGCCGCACAAGTCCCGGCTGACGGACACCCTCTGATCTCAGCCCCGTCTCGGCACCAGCAGCGCCGCACAAGTCCCGGCTGACGGACACCCTCTGATCTCAGCCCCGTCCCGGCACCAGCAGTGTCGCAGACGTGCCGATTGCATGGCGCCCTCATGACCTGCAGAGCAACACCGGAACCTTCGAGTCACATCACAAGTCATGCCGATCCGCAGAAGCGGTAGGGCCTCCCCGATCTGCTCCCAGCATAGGCG